ATTGTCTCCGGCAGCAGGGAGCAGGCCCAGCCCTGCTGTGGGATGAGACAGCAGTCTGGCAGCAAGGATCTGACTTCTCCCCACATAGCATGATGCTGGAGGCTGAGTTTGGAGGGATGGATAGGCCTGAGGGGAGGCTGGAGCCCCAGGGCTGGAGGGCTGTCGGGAGGTGGAATTGAGAGGGCAGAGGGCAGGGGTGGTTCACGGGGTGCATCTTCACCTTCCACATGGGAGACCCGCATTGCCGTCTGGCTTTGCATCTCACGCATAGCCACCACTTACTGCCACTGTGTTGCTATGACACTGGACGGATTTCCACCGAGCTTCCCGACTAAGATGGACTAGGGTGATCTACTGCTGAAAACCAGTAGATCTATGAATCTATGAAAACACCGGTCTTCTAGTGATGAGTCTTTTCCAAGGGACCAGGGACATGCAATGCGGCCACTCCCGGGCAGGTCTCTCCTCTGCCTCTGCCTTGTGACGCTCAATCCCTTTCTACAACGCTGGAGAAAGGGCGGGGCCCGGAGGCTGCGCCCCCATCTGCTGACAGCTTCCTGGCATCCTGAGAAGCAGTGGCTGAGGACGCAGACCCTGGATACTAACCCTTCCCAAACCTGGGCTCCCTTCTGTTGCTGAGTTTAGACTTGTTTGAAAAGGAAAAAGTCAGGGGCTGCGCTGGGGGAAAGTGTTTGGGCAGCCAAAGGGGGCTAAGGCTATTGCAGACGTAAAGGCTTGAGGGTAGAACCCTTTTACCAAACCACTTGCCATCCAGCCAATTCTGGCGCAAAGTGGCCTCCTATAGCCATCTTCCACTCCAAAGCCGACCCCCACCCCACCCCGGGGTTCCCGAGGCTGCCTCATCTTCCTCCAGCAGAGCGGCTGGTGGAGTGGCACTCTTTCCAGCCCAGCCTGCAACCCACTACCCCACCAGGGCTCCCGAAGGACCCTATTGGAACCGACGATAGCTGGGTGCTTGCAACTTATGCTCAAATGGCTGACTACAACAATAAAAGATCGGTAGATTGGTAGACAGCTAGATGATGGGTAGAGGGTGGATGGTAGGCAATAGGCAGCTGATAAGATTAGCTCGACAGCTAACCTGAGTGGCGTTGAAGGGCTTGGTAGATGCTTCTCCGCTTTGGTGGACAGACCTGGCTGCACGCTGGGTTAGGCGCATGGGTCAGCTAACCATAAGCTTGGCAATTGGAAACCGCCTGCTGCCTGGGGGCCAGAGAGCTGAGCCTTTCTATCCCACGAGGATGCACAGCCCGAGGAACCCACTGGGCCAGGTCTGCTCTTTCCTAGAGGGTCGCAGTGAGTCGGAATGG